ATCGTAAAAAAATAAAACTACAGGAGGACTCGCGGTGAATATATTTGGAATGTGGCTCTACCATATCGGACAAAATATTGACCAAACGGGCCTCGAATTTTGATGATGATACGACTCGGTATTATATCTTAAATGTGCGTTAATCGACGTCCTCTTTATCATAAGCATCAAACTATACACTAAAGTGTCTCTTAGCTTGCTGCTGAGTCCTGTCGAAGGCCTTTCGTTTGTTGACACGTTGTCAACGAAAAATGAGATATCAGGGTACCGAAATATGGGTACATCACAAAGCAACATTGACGAGGGGAGATATTTTCACTTGGCGGTCATAGCAGAAGTTTTTGTCAGTAGCCCAAGGAAATTGGATAATTTATCAAAAGCCGGAAGGTAAACATGGACAAGATACATTTCAGTATCGAGTCTCCATTCCAGTACTACGTATAGTAGTATACTGAATTGGGCGATTCGGTGCAGCAGTAATGACAGGGGCAATAAAATGCGTGTGCATAATTGCTACAATGCCTTGTTGATCCGACAGCAATGTAGGAGAGTTTATAATATATTCGTCCAGCTCTAGTTGGCTTCACAACATCGGTTGCCTTAAAAATCTGTCAGTTGCGCTACCGGACCACGCTTAACATCGCTATCATTAAAAGAAGATCATATACTGTACGAGGTAAAGCGATGTTGATACATGTAGTAATACAAATACTATTCTTGACGTCCGTGTGATAATTTTCGATTATGTTTTTTTCACTTACATATATTTTTCATTGATATTTTAGCAGTTGGCCACCACGCCCCACGCACGTACTGCTGGCTGTCCATCATTTTTAGGTAGGTAACCAAATACATGGAAACCAAATATCAAATTCTAGTAATAGTATTTTTTCAAATGTAATAACAAAACATAATTTTAGAGCTACTATTAAATTTAAATATCACTGTAGCTCTGAAAATTTGACAAAATATGGTACATGTATTAGTTTTAGTACTTCGAAGTACATACATGTATTATTTCCCATTAGTTAGTTACGTTTTTCTCGCTACTGACGTTGGGGACAATGAGAGGCCAGTGCAGAAGCGATCTTACTACAGTAAATATGAGAAGACTCAGTGCATCGAATATCTATATCGTCAATGCTAGGAGAATCCAATCATCGTCAGACCGAACAGCATCGGCGCGGGAAACCGCAGAATGAGGTGTTGTTGGCACTGGAGGCAGGACAGGAAACTCGGCTTGGTAGGGGGTACTCGGGAGAAGGCAAATGGAGGATTGAGTGCGAGCAGATCCGAATTTGCATGTGCGCAATGGCTCCCAAGGAACATAGCCATGCTGCACTTATTGTTAAGTGGCAATTAATATATTGCAAAAGCTGTAATTGCTTTTTTATTTTAGTAACTTCACCTCAATTTGGTCTGGCAAAGTGTAGACTTTCATAAGAAAAAACAATAATTGGGCTGGCTTCGTTTTTATTTATCTCAAGTAAATTTCCTTCGTGTAGACGCCATTGAACGCTGGAATTTTTTAATGAGAGTTCAAAAGTAGCACTAGGATACGTAGTAGTAAGCGTCTATCAATTTATCAATTCATATGGCAGTAGGTGCAAAGTCCCTCACTCATCCTTTAAAACTTGTAGCGGTGAATGGACTCGAGGTGACTAACGGAGCGTGGGCTTTTGGGTCGAGTATCATCCAGTCTACCGGACTTGCAGGCATAAATCATCAATACTAAACTCAGCAGCGCCTTAAATGCCGCCAAGCAGAGAAAAAACGCCACTGTGACAAGTATTCCGCCAGGTGATGCGAGCTCAATTGGGGCCTCGACTAACGCCTTCGATTCCATACGCAGCACGACACAAGCGAGCGGCAACGACATCAAACCCAAGCGCTTGGATACATGGTGCGTGTGATCCAGAATGGTATCCTCGCTCTTCCAGCCTGTTAAATCGCGACAAAGGATCG